ACCTTATCTTATCATTGAGAGAATTGGAGCTGTGGCTTATCGTCTAGAACTACCAGCAGAACTAGAAGCATTTCACGATGTGTTTCATGTCTCTGTATTACGGAAAGTGGTTGCAGAAAAGGAGTTGATCATACCACAGCCACCTAAAGACTTGGAGCTAGATTTGTCAGTTAAGGGAAGACCTGTGTCAATCCTAAGCCGTAGAGATGGTGGCTCAATGGGAAAGAAAGCTCGAACAGTTCAAATATGTTGGGAAAGAGATGGTATTCAGGAGGTAACATGGGAGACTGAACAACACATGAGACAAGATTATCCTGAACTCTTTACTGAGGATAGTGGAGTTTTGAATTCAGGGACGAATTCTCTAGAAGTGGGGGAGAATTGTGAGACCCGTTTTGGGTTAGCCAAAGCCCAATAAGAACCCAAAACAAAAATTGTACATATGTATATACAAGTATCTTCAGCTTTAAAAAGAAACGTGAGAGAGCTTGTGAACCCTAAAGCAGCAGCCGCATTCTCAGTTTGCTCCATCAAAAATCGTGCTAGTGTTTGATTGATATTGGAGAAGGAGATACGAAACTGTGGAGAAGTGAGGAAGGAGAAGGGTGAAAAAAATCAGAATCAGAAACGGAACTTACGGGGAGATTTCCAGCTGTTTCGTGAGGTCTCAGAAGCTGATTTTGGTATCATCGGAAAGATCGTCTTCTCAGCTTTCTAAACCATCCGAGATCACGGTAATCCGATTTATATTCAGAGAGTTATGGTTATTTCGTTTTGGACGTCGGATCTGTTCTAAGGTTTCAGAGTTATTTTTCCAGATTCTAGTTGAGGTTTTGTGAATCGATTTCCCGACGATACGTAAGTCACCAGGAGTCGATCTACATACGGTTTTGTAGATCTCGAACCCACGTTTCCAGATCTTCTTTCAGTGGTCCAATCAGAGGTATACTTCATCCGCAAATCAGCTCTAAAGTTTACGTAAATCCTCTGTTCCGTTTCAGAGAAATCTCAGTTTTCCAGTTTTGCTTCCAGTTTCTGCTTGAGGTTTTGGGGGAAGGATTCCGGTCGAACCCGAACGATTCAGACCAGATTGGTGGTAGATCCAGATAGAGGGAGTGTCAGAGAAGGCAAGGGAGTCGAAGTTGGTACCATAGGAGGTATACTCCCGCTTCCAAGTATCTAGCTTGTTGGACACGAAAGTTTGTTTCTGTTCAAACCTGAATCTGTTTCCGTGTTCTGCAAGTTTCAGGTTCAGTTTTCCTACAACAGTCTCAATCCGTTTTCAGCCAAATTCAGGTGAGGGTGTGATCTGTGGAAACATGATTTATATTCCTTCTATTATATTGCAAGATGCATGGCATATAGGCTTTAGATCTGATTGCTAGATATAGGTTCTGTGATGATATGTTTGATATTTATGGAATGAAATGATATGATATAGTGTGATGATATGATGAAATGTTATGGTATGATATGATATGATGTATGTATGAATAAGAGAGGAAGAATCGAGCTATGGGCCATGGTCTTCCCTCGAAACTGGACTGTGATGGGCCGACGGGTTACATGCAGGTCACGAACGGCTGACGAGCCCGGTATGGGAGTGTATGAGCTACGGCTGCCTCCAAGCATGAGGTTATGAGTTATCACGAGGATGACTGAACCTAAGGATGAATGTTACCTTGCATTATAGCAGGGGTATATGATTGCTAGTGTCTAGGTTTATATGTTTTGTTGATTGTGGTATAATGGTAGAAATGTTTATTATGTTTCGGTGGGCAGAAATGATCTCCTCATTGAGTAATTAATTACTCATCCCCCCTTTCCTCTTTTTCCTTTTTCAGGTGTGGATGGAGACCTCGAATAGTTGCTCAAACTTGTCTTGTTTCTTGGTGTTATTTTGGAACCGGGTTTTATTTATTTTATGCAACAAATGTTTTCATTTTATTAGTTGGTTTTCATGAGATTTTGTTGAATGATTTTAAGATCTTTAATAAGAATGGTTTTTAAGATAAGGTGTTTGGAAAATGAGGAATACGGGTGTTACAAATTGGTATCAGAGACAGGTTAAAGCTAAACCGGTTCTGACCCGGGAAGCTCGGTTTTCAGGGAAAATGATTTAAAAACGTTTTTAAAAAAAAAAAAAAAAAAAAAAAACAAATAACAAAAAAAAAAAAGAGGGGGTTTTTTTTCTTTTAATACGAAAATTAACAGTTTTCAAAATAAAATGGGACACCAGAAGAAACAAGACTTGAGCAATATTTGAGTTTCTGTTTAAGTACATGTTTATATTGATCTCATGTATTGTTTCTTTTTCAGAATGCCACCAAAGAAGACAACGCGTGTAGCAAATGCAAATGTAAATGCACGAGCTGCTGGGCAAGGACAACCACAAGGTGGAGCAGAACCTGCAATAACACGTGCAGAGGTGCAAGAGCTTCGGGATATGATGAGAGAGATTTTGCAGAGACAAGCAGCACCAGCAGTAGGCCAACCAAATGCTGCACCACATGGCCATCACCTACCACCAGCTGCACCACATGTTCAACATCCACCACCACCTCCAGCAGGGGCACCAGCACCAGGAATTGGTCTCACATACTGGGAGACACTGAGACTCATGACAGATTTGGGTACAGAGATTTTCAATGGTGGGAATAACCCAGTGGAGGCTGATGATTGGAGGAAGCTGTTAGAGAGGAATTTTGAGTCAACCAGGTGTCCAGTTGAATTCAAGAAAGGGCTTGCAGTTCATTTCTTGCGTGGAGAGGCACACATTTGGTGGGAGGGTGTGATGCGGAGCATGCCTGCTGGATATGAGATACCTTGGGAGACTTTCAGAGATGAGTTCAACAGGAAGTACTTTCCACAAGAAGCAATGGATACTATGGAGTGTTCATACTTGGAGCTTCGCCAGGGGTCCATGACTGTTAGGGATTATGAGAGGGAGTTCAACCGCCTTAGTAGGTTTGCAGGGAGAGAGCCTGGAGAACAGAAGTTGATTCGTAGATTCATGAGAGGGTTGAGGCCAGACATCCGCAACCATTGTTCAGTTCGAGACTATGGTAGTATGATTGAGTTGGTTGAGAAGGCGGCCATGATGGAGACTGGGCTTGAGGAGGAAGTTAAACACCTCAAGAGCACTCAGGCAAAGGCGACAAAGGTTGTGGAGTCTCAGAAGCGTACTTGGGATAACCGTGATGCAAGACAAGGCCAGAACCGTTTTGCAGAGTGTGCTACTTGTGGTAAGAGACATGGTGGAGTTTGTTGGGCCAAAACCAACAATTGTTATCAGTGTGGACAGCCAGGACATACCCAACAGAACTGTCCAAGAGGAGTCAATAACTGTAGAAGGTGTGGTCAGAGAGGTCATTTTGCGCGAGAGTGCACAGCGCAGCTGCCTGTAGGACAACAAGGGAACCAGAACAGAGGGATCCTGCCACCACCTCCCAAGAGACAGGCTGTTGGACCTCGAGTGTTTGCAGCAGCAGATCAGATTGGTGCAGAACCGATTGTGGGTACGTCTTCTATCCAAAGACTTTTATGTTATTTCTTTTAGCATATAGTAGTAGCATTGGTTCCTTTATGCTTGGGAACTGCTTAGAGAAAAAGTTGTGTAGGGTCTGTCCTTGTTGGAGGAATTACAGCCTACACATTATTCGACACAGGAGCGACACATTGTTTTGTCAGTCCTGAGGTGGCTAGATGCTGGGATTCGAGAATTGGGTTTGAAGATAGGCAGAGAAGGATCGACACTGCTGGCACAGAAGTAATTGGGTCCTCAAGAACATATCGAGATGTTCCAGTAGTGATAGAAAAAGAGGGGCTGCTTGGAGATTTCATCGAGCTGGAGCTGAAACATTATGAAGTAATTATAGGCATGGATTGGTTGACGCAACATAAGGCTATATTGGATTGTACTAGGAGGCGTGTTGATTTCACTCAAGCAGAAAGGAATTTGGTGTTCCAGGGAGTTAGAGCTTTGGGCAGAATTCCTGTTATTTCGATGGCTCATGTAGAAGAAATGAAGTGGAAAGGACCAGAAGTTTATTTGGCAACCATTTCTATTGAGGGAGGACCTATGGGGATAGATTTGGAAGAAATTTCTGTAGCAGCAGAATATGCAGATGTTTTTGAACCACTCACAGGACCACCACCAGAAAGAGGAGATGCATTTACTATTGAGTTGGAGCCAGGGACTGCTTCAGTATCCAGAGCACCTTATCGTTTAGCCCCATCAGAAATGGCTGAGCTAAAGAAACAACTGGAGGATCTTACAGATAAAGGGTTTGTGAGGCCAAGTAGTTCACCATGGGGAGCTCCTGTTTTGTTTGTGAAGAAGAAAGATGGTAGTTTCAGACTCTGCATAGATTATCGAGGGCTCAATAAGGTTACTATCAAGAATAAGTATCCTTTGCCTAGGATTGATGAGTTGCTAGATCAGTTACAAGGAGCATCGTGGTTCTCAAAGATAGATTTGGCATCAGGGTATCATCAGATTGCTATAGCTGAAGGTGATGTGAGGAAAACAACATTCAGAACACGTTATGGACATTATGAGTTTGTAGTGATGCCATTTGGATTGACTAATGCACCAGCAGCCTTTATGAAGTTGATGAATAATGTGTTTAGAGAATATCTAGACAAATTCGTCATAGTGTTCATTGATGATATCTTAATCTACTCAAGGAGTAAGGAAGAGCATGCTGAGCATTTGAGGATAGTGTTACAGACATTGAGGGATCAAAAACTTTTTGCAAAGTTATCCAAATGCAGTTTTTGGCAGAAGAAGATTGGGTTTTTGGGTCACATTGTTTCAGAAGCAGGAGTTGCAGTAGATCCAGAGAAGATAACAACTATCACTCAATGGCCTAGACCGAAGAATGCTTCTGAAATTCGTAGTTTTCTTGGCCTAGCTGGATACTACAGAAAGTTTGTAAAAGGATTTGCAAGTCTAGCGAAGCCTTTGACACAACTTACCTGTAAGGAGGCAAAGTTTGTTTGGTCAGAAGAGTGTGAAAAGAGTTTTGAGGAACTGAAGAAGCACTTGACTCAGGCACCTATATTGGTATTACCTAAGGCTGGGGTATTATATGTGGTCTATACAGATGCATCAGGAACTGGTCTAGGATGTGTACTTATGCAAGAAGAAAAAGTCATTGCCTATGCATCTAGACAATTGCGTAAGCATGAGGTTAATTATCCAACTCATGACCTGGAGTTAGCATCTGTGGTCTTTGCTTTAAAGGTTTGGAGAGCCTACTTATATGGAGAGAAAGTACAAGTGTTTACAGATCATAAGAGTTTAAAGTATGTCTTCACTCAGTCAGATCTCAACTTGAGGCAGCGAAGATGGATGGAGCTGTTAGCAGATTATGATATGGATATTGCTTATTATCCAAGAAAAGCTAATCAGGTAGCAGATGCACTAAGTAGGAGAAGGAATGATGTGTCCAGAATAAAAGAAGTAGAAGAGCTCGTTTCAACATTGGCAAGTTTGAGTATTTGTTCTGCATCTGTAGAGGAAGGAGTTATGGGATTAGAAGCAGTAAACCAAGCATATTTACTTTGGAGAATTCGTGAAGCTCAGAATGGAGACACTGGTTTACAGAACACAGTGAAGAGTGAAGTAGCAGGCTATCACACTACGAAAAATGGGACACTTGTTTTCAGAGGTAGAGTGTGTGTTCCAGATGATAAAGGTCTGAAGGGAGAGATTTTGAAGCAAGCACATCAGTCACGTTTTTCCATTCACCCTGGTTCTACAAAAATGTATCGGGATCTGAAAAGGTATTATCACTGGAATGGAATGAAACGAGATGTTGGAGAATGGGTAGCAAAGTGCACGACATGCCAGCTAGTGAAAGCAGAACATAGAGTTCCAAGTGGGTTACTACAAAGTTTGCCACTGCCAGAATGGAAATGGGATATGGTAACAATGGATTTTGTCACTGGACTTCCAAGAACTCTGAGTAAGAAAGATGCGATTTGGGTGATTGTGGATAGACTTACTAAGTCAGCTCATTTTCTAGCAGTTAAAAAGACAGATGGTGCAGATCGCCTAGCTCAGATGTACATGGATGAGATTGTAAGGTTACATGGAGTTCCTGCAAGCATTATTTCAGATAGAGATTCAAAGTTCACTTCATTGTTCTGGAAGGCTTTCCAGAAGGCTATGGGAACTAAGGTTAATTTGAGCACAGCATATCATCCTCAGACAGATGGACAATCTGAGCGTACTATACAGACACTGGAGGATATGTTGAGGGCGTGCATGTTGGATTGGGGAGGACGTTGGGAGAGACATTTACCTTTAGCAGAGTTTGCTTACAATAACAGCTATCATGCAAGCCTAGGTATGTCACCGTTCGAGGCTCTTTATGGACGACCTTGTCGCACACCTCTTTGTTGGACAGAAGTGGGGGAGCGCCAGGACACAGAACCTGCAATAATTCAAGAGACAACTGAACAAGTAGAGATCCTCAAGGGAAAATTAAGAGAAGCTCATGATCGTCAAAAAAGTTATGCAGATAAAAGGAGAAAGGATTTAGAGTTTGCAGTTGGAGACTTGGTGTATCTGAAAATGAGAATGTTCAAGGGCCTGAACAAGTGGGCTAAGAGAGGAAAACTTAAGCCAAGATACATGGAACCTTATCTTATCATTGAGAGAATTGGAGCTGTGGCTTATCGTCTAGAACTACCAGCAGAACTAGAAGCATTTCACGATGTGTTTCATGTCTCTGTATTACGGAAAGTGGTTGCAGAAAAGGAGTTGATCATACCACAGCCACCTAAAGACTTGGAGCTAGATTTGTCAGTTAAGGGAAGACCTGTGTCAATCCTAAGCCGTAGAGATGGTGGCTCAATGGGAAAGAAAGCTCGAACAGTTCAAATATGTTGGGAAAGAGATGGTATTCAGGAGGTAACATGGGAGACTGAACAACACATGAGACAAGATTATCCTGAACTCTTTACTGAGGATAGTGGAGTTTTGAATTCAGGGACGAATTCTCTAGAAGTGGGGGAGAATTGTGAGACCCGTTTTGGGTTAGCCAAAGCCCAATAAGAACCCAAAACAAAAATTGTACATATGTATATACAAGTATCTTCAGCTTTAAAAAGAAACGTGAGAGAGCTTGTGAACCCTAAAGCAGCAGCCGCATTCTCAGTTTGCTCCATCAAAAATCGTGCTAGTGTTTGATTGATATTGGAGAAGGAGATACGAAACTGTGGAGAAGTGAGGAAGGAGAAGGGTGAAAAAATCAGAATCAGAAACGGAACTTACGGGGAGATTTCCAGCTGTTTCGTGAGGTCTCAGAAGCTGATTTTGGTATCATCGGAAAGATCGTCTTCTCAGCTTTCTAAACCATCCGAGATCACGGTAATCCGATTTATATTCAGAGAGTTATGGTTATTTCGTTTTGGACGTCGGATCTGTTCTAAGGTTTCAGAGTTATTTTTCCAGATTCTAGTTGAGGTTTTGTGAATCGATTTCCCGACGATACGTAAGTCACCAGGAGTCGATCTACATACGGTTTTGTAGATCTCGAACCCACGTTTCCAGATCTTCTTTCAGTGGTCCAATCAGAGGTATACTTCATCCGCAAATCAGCTCTAAAGTTTACGTAAATCCTCTGTTCCGTTTCAGAGAAATCTCAGTTTTCCAGTTTTGCTTCCAGTTTCTGCTTGAGGTTTTGGGGGAAGGATTCCGGTCGAACCCGAACGATTCAGACCAGATTGGTGGTAGATCCAGATAGAGGGAGTGTCAGAGAAGGCAAGGGAGTCGAAGTTGGTACCATAGGAGGTATACTCCCGCTTCCAAGTATCTAGCTTGTTGGACACGAAAGTTTGTTTCTGTTCAAACCTGAATCTGTTTCCGTGTTCTGCAAGTTTCAGGTTCAGTTTTCCTACAACAGTCTCAATCCGTTTTCAGCCAAATTCAGGTGAGGGTGTGATCTGTGGAAACATGATTTATATTTCTTCTATTATATTGCAAGATGCATGGCATATAGGCTTTAGATCTGATTGCTAGATATAGGTTCTGTGATGATATGTTTGATATTTATGGAATGAAATGATATGATATAGTGTGATGATATGATGAAATGTTATGGTATGATATGATATGATGTATGTATGAATAAGAGAGGAAGAATCGAGCTATGGGCCATGGTCTTCCCTCGAAACTGGACTGTGATGGGCCGACGGGTTACATGCAGGTCACGAACGGCTGACGAGCCCGGTATGGGAGTGTATGAGCTACGGCTGCCTCCAAGCATGAGGTTATGAGTTATCACGAGGATGACTGAACCTAAGGATGAATGTTACCTTGCATTATAGCAGGGGTATATGATTGCTAGTGTCTAGGTTTATATGTTTTGTTGATTGTGGTATAATGGTAGAAATGTTTATTATGTTTCGGTGGGCAGAAATGATCTCCTCATTGAGTAATTAATTACTCATCCCCCCTTTCCTCTTTTTCCTTTTTCAGGTGTGGATGGAGACCTCGAATAGTTGCTCAAACTTGTCTTGTTTCTTGGTGTTATTTTGGAACCGGGTTTTATTTATTTTATGCAACAAATGTTTTCATTTTATTAGTTGGTTTTCATGAGATTTTGTTGAATGATTTTAAGATCTTTAATAAGAATGGTTTTTAAGATAAGGTGTTTGGAAAATGAGGAATACGGGTGTTACAAATTGGTATCAGAGACAGGTTAAAGCTAAACCGGTTCTGACCCGGGAAGCTCGGTTTTCAGGGAAAATGATTTAAAAACGTTTTTAAAAAAAAAAAACAAAAAAAAAAAAACAAATAACAAAAAAAAAAAAGAGGGGGTTTTTTTTCTTTTAATACGAAAATTAACAGTTTTCAAAATAAAATGGGACACCAGAAGAAACAAGACTTGAGCAATATTTGAGTTTCTGTTTAAGTACATGTTTATATTGATCTCATGTATTGTTTCTTTTTCAGAATGCCACCAAAGAAGACAACGCGTGTAGCAAATGCAAATGTAAATGCACGAGCTGCTGGGCAAGGACAACCACAAGGTGGAGCAGAACCTGCAATAACACGTGCAGAGGTGCAAGAGCTTCGGGATATGATGAGAGAGATTTTGCAGAGACAAGCAGCACCAGCAGTAGGCCAACCAAATGCTGCACCACATGGCCATCACCTACCACCAGCTGCACCACATGTTCAACATCCACCACCACCTCCAGCAGGGGCACCAGCACCAGGAATTGGTCTCACATACTGGGAGACACTGAGACTCATGACAGATTTGGGTACAGAGATTTTCAATGGTGGGAATAACCCAGTGGAGGCTGATGATTGGAGGAAGCTGTTAGAGAGGAATTTTGAGTCAACCAGGTGTCCAGTTGAATTCAAGAAAGGGCTTGCAGTTCATTTCTTGCGTGGAGAGGCACACATTTGGTGGGAGGGTGTGATGCGGAGCATGCCTGCTGGATATGAGATACCTTGGGAGACTTTCAGAGATGAGTTCAACAGGAAGTACTTTCCACAAGAAGCAATGGATACTATGGAGTGTTCATACTTGGAGCTTCGCCAGGGGTCCATGACTGTTAGGGATTATGAGAGGGAGTTCAACCGCCTTAGTAGGTTTGCAGGGAGAGAGCCTGGAGAACAGAAGTTGATTCGTAGATTCATGAGAGGGTTGAGGCCAGACATCCGCAACCATTGTTCAGTTCGAGACTATGGTAGTATGATTGAGTTGGTTGAGAAGGCGGCCATGATGGAGACTGGGCTTGAGGAGGAAGTTAAACACCTCAAGAGCACTCAGGCAAAGGCGACAAAGGTTGTGGAGTCTCAGAAGCGTACTTGGGATAACCGTGATGCAAGACAAGGCCAGAACCGTTTTGCAGAGTGTGCTACTTGTGGTAAGAGACATGGTGGAGTTTGTTGGGCCAAAACCAACAATTGTTATCAGTGTGGACAGCCAGGACATACCCAACAGAACTGTCCAAGAGGAGTCAATAACTGTAGAAGGTGTGGTCAGAGAGGTCATTTTGCGCGAGAGTGCACAGCGCAGCTGCCTGTAGGACAACAAGGGAACCAGAACAGAGGGATCCTGCCACCACCTCCCAAGAGACAGGCTGTTGGACCTCGAGTGTTTGCAGCAGCAGATCAGATTGGTGCAGAACCGATTGTGGGTACGTCTTCTATCCAAAGACTTTTATGTTATTTCTTTTAGCATATAGTAGTAGCATTGGTTCCTTTATGCTTGGGAACTGCTTAGAGAAAAAGTTGTGTAGGGTCTGTCCTTGTTGGAGGAATTACAGCCTACACATTATTCGACACAGGAGCGACACATTGTTTTGTCAGTCCTGAGGTGGCTAGATGCTGGGATTCGAGAATTGGGTTTGAAGATAGGCAGAGAAGGATCGACACTGCTGGCACAGAAGTAATTGGGTCCTCAAGAACATATCGAGATGTTCCAGTAGTGATAGAAAAAGAGGGGCTGCTTGGAGATTTCATCGAGCTGGAGCTGAAACATTATGAAGTAATTATAGGCATGGATTGGTTGACGCAACATAAGGCTATATTGGATTGTACTAGGAGGCGTGTTGATTTCACTCAAGCAGAAAGGAATTTGGTGTTCCAGGGAGTTAGAGCTTTGGGCAGAATTCCTGTTATTTCGATGGCTCATGTAGAAGAAATGAAGTGGAAAGGACCAGAAGTTTATTTGGCAACCATTTCTATTGAGGGAGGACCTATGGGGATAGATTTGGAAGAAATTTCTGTAGCAGCAGAATATGCAGATGTTTTTGAACCACTCACAGGACCACCACCAGAAAGAGGAGATGCATTTACTATTGAGTTGGAGCCAGGGACTGCTTCAGTATCCAGAGCACCTTATCGTTTAGCCCCATCAGAAATGGCTGAGCTAAAGAAACAACTGGAGGATCTTACAGATAAAGGGTTTGTGAGGCCAAGTAGTTCACCATGGGGAGCTCCTGTTTTGTTTGTGAAGAAGAAAGATGGTAGTTTCAGACTCTGCATAGATTATCGAGGGCTCAATAAGGTTACTATCAAGAATAAGTATCCTTTGCCTAGGATTGATGAGTTGCTAGATCAGTTACAAGGAGCATCGTGGTTCTCAAAGATAGATTTGGCATCAGGGTATCATCAGATTGCTATAGCTGAAGGTGATGTGAGGAAAACAACATTCAGAACACGTTATGGACATTATGAGTTTGTAGTGATGCCATTTGGATTGACTAATGCACCAGCAGCCTTTATGAAGTTGATGAATAATGTGTTTAGAGAATATCTAGACAAATTCGTCATAGTGTTCATTGATGATATCTTAATCTACTCAAGGAGTAAGGAAGAGCATGCTGAGCATTTGAGGATAGTGTTACAGACATTGAGGGATCAAAAACTTTTTGCAAAGTTATCCAAATGCAGTTTTTGGCAGAAGAAGATTGGGTTTTTGGGTCACATTGTTTCAGAAGCAGGAGTTGCAGTAGATCCAGAGAAGATAACAACTATCACTCAATGGCCTAGACCGAAGAATGCTTCTGAAATTCGTAGTTTTCTTGGCCTAGCTGGATACTACAGAAAGTTTGTAAAAGGATTTGCAAGTCTAGCGAAGCCTTTGACACAACTTACCTGTAAGGAGGCAAAGTTTGTTTGGTCAGAAGAGTGTGAAAAGAGTTTTGAGGAACTGAAGAAGCACTTGACTCAGGCACCTATATTGGTATTACCTAAGGCTGGGGTATTATATGTGGTCTATACAGATGCATCAGGAACTGGTCTAGGATGTGTACTTATGCAAGAAGAAAAAGTCATTGCCTATGCATCTAGACAATTGCGTAAGCATGAGGTTAATTATCCAACTCATGACCTGGAGTTAGCATCTGTGGTCTTTGCTTTAAAGGTTTGGAGAGCCTACTTATATGGAGAGAAAGTACAAGTGTTTACAGATCATAAGAGTTTAAAGTATGTCTTCACTCAGTCAGATCTCAACTTGAGGCAGCGAAGATGGATGGAGCTGTTAGCAGATTATGATATGGATATTGCTTATTATCCAAGAAAAGCTAATCAGGTAGCAGATGCACTAAGTAGGAGAAGGAATGATGTGTCCAGAATAAAAGAAGTAGAAGAGCTCGTTTCAACATTGGCAAGTTTGAGTATTTGTTCTGCATCTGTAGAGGAAGGAGTTATGGGATTAGAAGCAGTAAACCAAGCATATTTACTTTGGAGAATTCGTGAAGCTCAGAATGGAGACACTGGTTTACAGAACACAGTGAAGAGTGAAGTAGCAGGCTATCACACTACGAAAAATGGGACACTTGTTTTCAGAGGTAGAGTGTGTGTTCCAGATGATAAAGGTCTGAAGGGAGAGATTTTGAAGCAAGCACATCAGTCACGTTTTTCCATTCACCCTGGTTCTACAAAAATGTATCGGGATCTGAAAAGGTATTATCACTGGAATGGAATGAAACGAGATGTTGGAGAATGGGTAGCAAAGTGCACGACATGCCAGCTAGTGAAAGCAGAACATAGAGTTCCAAGTGGGTTACTACAAAGTTTGCCACTGCCAGAATGGAAATGGGATATGGTAACAATGGATTTTGTCACTGGACTTCCAAGAACTCTGAGTAAGAAAGATGCGATTTGGGTGATTGTGGATAGACTTACTAAGTCAGCTCATTTTCTAGCAGTTAAAAAGACAGATGGTGCAGATCGCCTAGCTCAGATGTACATGGATGAGATTGTAAGGTTACATGGAGTTCCTGCAAGCATTATTTCAGATAGAGATTCAAAGTTCACTTCATTGTTCTGGAAGGCTTTCCAGAAGGCTATGGGAACTAAGGTTAATTTGAGCACAGCATATCATCCTCAGACAGATGGACAATCTGAGCGTACTATACAGACACTGGAGGATATGTTGAGGGCGTGCATGTTGGATTGGGGAGGACGTTGGGAGAGACATTTACCTTTAGCAGAGTTTGCTTACAATAACAGCTATCATGCAAGCCTAGGTATGTCACCGTTCGAGGCTCTTTATGGACGACCTTGTCGCACACCTCTTTGTTGGACAGAAGTGGGGGAGCGCCAGGACACAGAACCTGCAATAATTCAAGAGACAACTGAACAAGTAGAGATCCTCAAGGGAAAATTAAGAGAAGCTCATGATCGTCAAAAAAGTTATGCAGATAAAAGGAGAAAGGATTTAGAGTTTGCAGTTGGAGACTTGGTGTATCTGAAAATGAGAATGTTCAAGGGCTGAACAAGTGGGCTAAGAGAGGAAAACTTAAGCCAAGATACATGGAACCTTATCTTATCATTGAGAGAATTGGAGCTGTGGCTTATCGTCTAGAACTACCAGCAGAACTAGAAGCATTTCACGATGTGTTTCATGTCTCTGTATTACGGAAAGTGGTTGCAGAAAAGGAGTTGATCATACCACAGCCACCTAAAGACTTGGAGCTAGATTTGTCAGTTAAGGGAAGACCTGTGTCAATCCTAAGCCGTAGAGATGGTGGCTCAATGGGAAAGAAAGCTCGAACAGTTCAAATATGTTGGGAAAGAGATGGTATTCAGGAGGTAACATGGGAGACTGAACAACACATGAGACAAGATTATCCTGAACTCTTTACTGAGGATAGTGGAGTTTTGAATTCAGGGACGAATTCTCTAGAAGTGGGGGAGAATTGTGAGACCCGTTTTGGGTTAGCCAAAGCCCAATAAGAACCCAAAACAAAAATTGTACATATGTATATACAAGTATCTTCAGCTTTAAAAAGAAACGTGAGAGAGCTTGTGAACCCTAAAGCAGCAGCCGCATTCTCAGTTTGCTCCATCAAAAATCGTGCTAGTGTTTGATTGATATTGGAGAAGGAGATACGAAACTGTGGAGAAGTGAGGAAGGAGAAGGGTGAAAAAAATCAGAATCAGAAACGGAACTTACGGGGAGATTTCCAGCTGTTTCGTGAGGTCTCAGAAGCTGATTTTGGTATCATCGGAAAGATCGTCTTCTCAGCTTTCTAAACCATCCGAGATCACGGTAATCCGATTTATATTCAGAGAGTTATGGTTATTTCGTTTTGGACGTCGGATCTGTTCTAAGGTTTCAGAGTTATTTTTCCAGATTCTAGTTGAGGTTTTGTGAATCGATTTCCCGACGATCCGTAAGTCACCAGGAGTCGATCTACATACGGTTTTGTAGATCTCGAACCCACGTTTCCAGATCTTCTTTCAGTGGTCCAATCAGAGGTATACTTCATCCGCAAATCAGCTCTAAAGTTTACGTAAATCCTCTGTTCCGTTTCAGAGAAATCTCAGTTTTCCAGTTTTGCTTCCAGTTTCTGCTTGAGGTTTTGGGGGAAGGATTCCGGTCGAACCCGAACGATTCAGACCAGATTGGTGGTAGATCCAGATAGAGGGAGTGTCAGAGAAGGCAAGGGAGTCGAAGTTGGTACCATAGGAGGTATACTCCCGCTTCCAAGTATCTAGCTTGTTGGACACGAAAGTTTGTTTCTGTTCAAACCTGAATCTGTTTCCGTGTTCTGCAAGTTTCAGGTTCAGTTTTCCTACAACAGTCTCAATCCGTTTTCAGCCAAATTCAGGTGAGGGTGTGATCTGTGGAAACATGATTTATATTCCTTCTATTATATTGCAAGATGCATGGCATATAGGCTTTAGATCTGATTGCTAGATATAGGTTCTGTGATGATATGTTTGATATTTATGGAATGAAATGATATGATATAGTGTGATGATATGATGAAATGTTATGGTATGATATGATATGATGTATGTATGAATAAGAGAGGAAGAATCGAGCTATGGGCCATGGTCTTCCCTCGAAACTGGACTGTGATGGGCCGACGGGTTACATGCAGGTCACGAACGGCTGACGAGCCCGGTATGGGAGTGTATGAGCTACGGCTGCCTCCAAGCATGAGGTTATGAGTTATCACGAGGATGACTGAACCTAAGGATGAATGTTACCTTGCATTATAGCAGGGGTATATGATTGCTAGTGTCTAGGTTTATATGTTTTGTTGATTGTGGTATAATGGTAGAAATGTTTATTATGTTTCGGTGGGCAGAAATGATCTCCTCATTGAGTAATTAATTACTCATCCCCCCTTTCCTCTTTTTCCTTTTTCAGGTGTGGATGGAGACCTCGAATAGTTGCTCAAACTTGTCTTGTTTCTTGGTGTTATTTTGGAACCGGGTTTTATTTATTTTATGCAACAAATGTTTTCATTTTATTAGTTGGTTTTCATGAGATTTTGTTGAATGATTTTAAGATCTTTAATAAGAATGGTTTTTAAGATAAGGTGTTTGGAAAATGAGGAATACGGGTGTTACAAATTGGTATCAGAGACAGGTTAAAGCTAAACCGGTTCTGACCCGGGAAGCTCGGTTTTCAGGGAAAATGATTTAAAAACGTTTTTAAAAAAAAAAAACAAAAAAAAAAACAAATAACAAAAAAAAAAAAGAGGGGGTTTTTTTTCTTTTAATACGAAAATTAACAGTTTTCAAAATAAAATGGGACACCAGAAGAAACAAGACTTGAGCAATATTTGAGTTTCTGTTTAAGTACATGTTTATATTGATCTCATGTATTGTTTCTTTTTCAGAATGCCACCAAAGAAGACAACGCGTGTAGCAAATGCAAATGTAAATGCACGAGCTGCTGGGCAAGGACAACCACAAGGTGGAGCAGAACCTGCAATAACACGTGCAGAGGTGCAAGAGCTTCGGGATATGATGAGAGAGATTTTGCAGAGACAAGCAGCACCAGCAGTAGGCCAACCAAATGCTGCACCACATGGCCATCACCTACCACCAGCTGCACCACATGTTCAACATCCACCACCACCTCCAGCAGGGGCACCAGCACCAGGAATTGGTCTCACATACTGGGAGACACTGAGACTCATGACAGATTTGGGTACAGAGATTTTCAATGGTGGGAATAACCCAGTGGAGGCTGATGATTGGAGGAAGCTGTTAGAGAGGAATTTTGAGTCAACCAGGTGTCCAGTTGAATTCAAGAAAGGGCTTGCAGTTCATTTCTTGCGTGGAGAGGCACACATTTGGTGGGAGGGTGTGATGCGGAGCATGCCTGCTGGATATGAGATACCTTGGGAGACTTTCAGAGATGAGTTCAACAGGAAGTACTTTCCACAAGAAGCAATGGATACTATGGAGTGTTCATACTTGGAGCTTCGCCAGGGGTCCATGACTGTTAGGGATTATGAGAGGGAGTTCAACCGCCTTAGTAGGTTTGCAGGGAGAGAGCCTGGAGAACAGAAGTTGATTCGTAGATTCATGAGAGGGTTGAGGCCAGACATCCGCAACCATTGTTCAGTTCGAGACTATGGTAGTATGATTGAGTTGGTTGAGAAGGCGGCCATGATGGAGACTGGGCTTGAGGAGGAAGTTAAACACCTCAAGAGCACTCAGGCAAAGGCGACAAAGGTTGTGGAGTCTCAGAAGCGTACTTGGGATAACCGTGATGCAAGACAAGGCCAGAACCGTTTTGCAGAGTGTGCTACTTGTGGTAAGAGACATGGTGGAA